ACGCTTATCTCCCTGAGCCTGGCCTTCATAAGTCCATTCCATCACAAGTTCAGTGTTTCTCAACCTCGGCAACTTTAAGATGTGGGGACATCGAATCCCAGAATTCCCCAGCCATAGCACCAACCCTATGGAAGATTCTCCCTCCAAGATCAGGATGGCCCCAACTCTTGGCCTTTCTTAAAGCCCTAGAAACCTGGCTCTGTGCTTGGGCCTGAGGCCCCAAGTGCATGAAGGGTCCCATCTTCTGCTTATACGAATGATTGTTGGTTTTCTGAGTTGCTGTATATTTTAATTTTTCTATATGGATTTGTTTTATTTTTATTATTTTTGCCATCCAGAGTCATCGTCTGTATAAATCGATTAAAGAAAGAAAGAAAATTGGCTATGTATTACGATTTCTCTGTAATTCTCTATGAGCTAGGGACTTCCCCATGAGGACTTGTAACTGGTTCAAAAATAGGTCTGGATTTCTGTGACCCCATGAAATCTGCTATGTTCAAGATGCATTTCTGGCTCAGCTGAGGTCTATTTGAATTTGCCATTTCCTTGAAATTTGTGGCCCTAGGCCCATCTCTCCATTTTCAGAAAAACTTGCTTCTCTGGCATGTCCCTGTTCCTGGGGTTCAGTTGTCTTTCAACAAGGAAGATGACTTAATGGCTCTGTAGATCCCCATCGTAGGAACTCTCTGGATTATTTTGCTTGTAATGAAACAAATACACACCATGTGAGGTAAGGATGAAAATGAAAGTTCTGATTTTTCTATTTGCATGGAATGAGGGTGAGAGGATTTTTGTTACTCCAGAATCCACAGTAGGTGAAGTAGGGTAGGGATTAAATGATGTTTTATCCCTGTTATTAGCATTTTGAAGTCAGCAGAGTAAAGACATTCCTAGATCATCATCAAACTGCTTTTGAGGGATTGGGGAATATAAATGATGATGGAAAGGAGTACATCTAGATACGCATAAAAACTTATGGCCATTTGTGTGTATACATGAGTGAATCAGCATAAATCAGAAATGGGCTACCCATGTCCCCTCTTGTCTTGAATTCCAATTCCCATCAGTTTAAGATAGCATGCCAAATGACCAGAGATTATGGAAACTGTAGTCCACAATCTGGAAGGCCACTAGTTCCCCGCATCTGCTCATTCTAAAAAAAAAAAAAAATCCACCATATTTAATTTGTCATACGCTAATTTTATTACATGATTTCTATGCCAACAGACTGTTACAGAGACCATATAATTATCGGGCATCTTTGTAATAACCGTATGGGTGCACAATGGCCCTCTGTGTGTTGCTGTTCTACTTTTCCTAACATCTCTCACTCTTAGGGCTGATGAACATTATAGTTCAGCAACTTCTTGAGGGAATTTAGAGCCTCGCCCTCCAGAAATGTACCAAAAACCTGGCAGTAAGCCATTTGGAAAGCAGAATAGGATTCACATATGATGATTTTTGAGAACCGTACTGCCAGTAAAAATCCATCTGAGTCAATATCAGTTTCACTCAAGCTCCAGAAATCTTGCAAGAAGGAACGTTTATCAAGATGGAAACAATAAATTGTATTCCAGCACAAGAATGGAAATCAGCCACCTGTATCATGCTAAGATAAAGAAGTCCTAATGATGTTCTCTAGGTCCCCAAGGAAGCCATGAATGCCCCTTCAAATCCAATGGAAAAACCTCCTTCAATGTGGAAGAATTGCAGGGCTGATGGTGATGTGTGTTTTCCATAACTCTTTTGGATTGCCTAATGATATCAACAGAAAAATGATGCCAGTGCAAAAGGGTGCAATGCAGATTCGGACAGGAGTGTGAGTCAAATTATTTTATTTCTCCAGCACCTACAACAGGGACCCAATCAGGTTGAATTCCTAGTATCAGCTCTTTCTTCTAACAAAGAAAATTGTCAACTTCAGGAATGTGATCTAATTTTGCCCCAAGAATTTGTTAGAAAAGCTACAGTAGCTAGTTTACTTGCTTGCTACAGAACTCTCTTCACCGTAAAATCATTCACTGTCATTTTCTTTTGTGAAACAACTCTCATTACAGGAAACTGAAGTCAGGCTTACTCCAGGATAAAATTCACCAACAAAAAAGGGTAATCGGAAGTGGCTGATGGAACTGCACGGACTGCATTCAAGTTCCTGGCAATCATGAAAACATTTGCACAGATAGATTTTTCTTTCTGCTCTGGCTTACATTTTGCAATGTGCTCTTCTTTTTTCTTCCTTTTTCTTTCTGTCTCTCACACACACAAAGAAAAATCAAACAAAGAAGGCCTGTGTTTCAATTTCAGGGCACTGCTGTGGTAGAGGTCCTTGAAGACAGAGAGGTGGGCAGCTGACCAGCATATCACAGAAAGCAAACCCTGGACTCACCAGTGTATTGTCTCCAATCCCCTGAGCATTCAGGGACAGAGTCTAAAAACAAAAACAGACTCTTTGGAGCCTAAGGACTCCAGGCTAAAAACTCAAATAATGTTCAGAATAAAATGCATAATCAAAGAGGTAAACTATTTGGGTAGCAGCAGTTTGACGGTTGCTCTCCTGCTCTCCCACCAACAGTCTTTATAACTGTCTAGCTTCAGTTGTGGGTTGTAAGCAGTTGTTTCCTTGTGTAGTCTCTGACTTTTCAGCTTGAGGAACCAGCTTTCTTCTTTGCCTGGACAAAAAGTTTCATCAAGGCCAGGCAGCATAAAAGGGGAGGATTTTTTTGCACAGACTAAAGAGAACCCAAAGGTTCCTCTTCGCTGACCTCTAGCATCTTCTCCTTCACCCAACTGGCCTTTATGCTCAACAGGCACTGAGTCTGCAAATACATATTTCTTGCTGATGTAGCTTACTCACAAAAAAGCTGGAGTTTTCCCTTCAGCACAATTGTCAAAATCTAAAGTTTAAAAAGGGTAACCACAAATAAGGTGTATCAGTAATAAAAGAAAAATAATGTAACAGGGGTATTTATTATTTATTTTAAATACTTTATCCCATGCTTCTACTAAGATGTGCTCAAAGAGCATAACAAAATGAGTTTAAATAAGTTTTTGAAATATAATTCTTAAAACCAAGAATTTACAAAATACAGTATATACATTTAAAACTGTGTAGGAGGGTTTGGTGGCTTCAATAACCCTGAAATTGATCTGAGGTGGCACTTTTGCTCCCAGTAAGGTCATCCATGCTGGTGAAGTTGTCATCTATCAGGACCCCAGAAGTACACCTTCTCTATAGGAGGTGCCTGCGCTCTGAAACAAGATTCCAGAGTCATCATAGTTTTAGCACATGAAAATATAAGAAACCAATTATCAATATTTTATTCTAACAATGAACATGAAAAATTATTTGGGAAGTGCTACAAAGCATTTGTCCAGTATTTATGGGTTTTTCCCTGGCTCCATCTCCCTCCCCCAATTTTAAGGTTGCAAATTTTAAAAAATGTTGATGATTTGGGCAAGGCAACTTCCACAACTTATCAGAAAGGCATACATCTAAAAAAAATGGAGCCGTAGCTCCAATTCCACTTTACATCTCACTTGTTGGGAAGGTGATTAAGGGAATGAAAAATGGAGCCGTAGGTCCAATTCCAATTCCCGGTCTGGTTGGTACCATCATGGGCCTGGATGGAGGTCTCATCATTGGTGGCCCTGGCATCATTGGCATATGTCCTCCCATGGGTGGTCTCATTCCTGGTGCAGGTCCAACTGGCATCATTCCTGGAGGAGGCGGTCCCATCATTGGCATCATTGGAGGTCCACCCATATGGGGTGCTGGCATCATACCAGGCCGTGGTGGACCAGGGTGGTGGTATCATTAATCCCCAAGGAGGAGGAGCAGAAAATGGGGTAGGTGGGATTTTGCCTTGCTGAAATGCAGCCGTTGTTTTATCAATCATACAATCTTTCACATTCTCTTTATGTTTCCTGCCACTGCAATGGGTTTTCCTCACAGATGGAGAGTCATGGGTGAGGTAAGTATCACAATAATCACAATAAAACTTCGGCATGTTGCTTTAGCACTGTTATTTTAATTACTAGATTAAATAATATTAATTGTTTTGTTTTATAGATATATATAAATGTAATGTGGTTGCTATTGTATATTTTGATTGTATCTGGCCTTGGGGCTGTAATAAATGTGTGTGTTTGTGTGTGAGTCAAAATATAAGACAAATGCATAGAACCAGTTTAGTATGCTTAATTTACGAGAAAGAGAACCTAAGGAATTATGGGAAAAGATAAGGGGACATTGTAAAAACTGAAGGAGGAAAAAATTCCCAGACTTTCAAAAAAAGAAGATGCAAGTGGCTTTCTGAACAAGTTATCAAGATAGCTGGGGAAAGACTCAAACAGGTCCGTAAGATTTCTTGGCCAAGAAAACGCGCCAATGCCAAAGAATTGCATTCCTCTCTTTCTGAGTTTTCACAATCCACATTCTCAGCCTCTGGGCTTGGGCGATATTTTGTTAGCAAATGGCAAGAGTCCTGCCATCCTGTTCTCTACATCTCACTTGTTGGGAAGGTGATTAAGGGAATGACCCCAAGCGTTATCTCCTTCCTCCACTCTTCTCTTTGTAACATTAATAATATCAGAACAATAACAGGATGTACAGACTCAACAGAGGGGAAGGGCTGATTTCCCAGCTGCAGACCCCTTGGCAACAAGGAAGCTGATCACTCCCTGAATTGCTTCATGCAGTAGAATAACTGATTTTACTTTATCCGATATACTCCTATGACTTGATCCAGTGGGTGCTTAGAGAAGACTACAATCAACAGAATCTTTTCAAATTGTGATAAGACAAAGCCAGGTAAGAAACCCAAGATTTGAGATTATTCTTAGATTTCTTAACCCCGTAATTGACAGCTGCGTTGCCTGTTTGCCAAAGTCGGGTGATCCAAGTCTCTCCTTAGCGACACCTCCTTTTGTAGGCCTGTTGCCAACCAACTTTCTGGATATTTTACTTGTGCTCAAGTTTCCTTACCAGAGCCACCTTAATTGTCACTGGATGCTCTCCAACTGAAAAAACGTATGAAGATAATATGAGGCTTTATGGTTTAAGGTAAGAAACTTGAGGCCAGTTGTTAACTGAAAGCCCAATCTGTTGCACCCAAAACATCAAATAAAAAATTAGGAAAACCTGTTTGGTTTTCTCTGATACCTTGCAGTGTTTTCATGAAAACGGGTGCTGCATTTTTCTGGAAGTAAACCAACTTCATACAGGGTGAAAGTTAGGAGTGGATTTTTTGTTATCTTGTGGTATAGGGAAGGTAGAAATAAGGCTTGCCCTCAACACAGTACCTTTTATATTCCTTCCCCTACTTTTCTCCACTCAATATTCCCATTTATGGAGGGGAGATCATAGAAGATTGAAAAAGCTCTTCTCTCATGCCAGGATGATAATCCACTTTTGGAAGGCCACGCTGGGTATTTGTTTTACAGAAATGAGATACAACACCTTATATTTTGAATATAGTCAGCCATTCTGTTAGGGATACTTTGATCTGGATTCCTTCAATGAGCTGAGTTGCATTCAGTAGCTGAAAAGGCCACTTCCAACTCTAAGACTCTGTGATTTCTAATTGCTGTGATTCTATGACTTATTCTTATGAGAAGAATGTTCCATTTTCCATGTTTAAACTTTAAGGATGAGATTTGCAAACGCTATCCTTGAGCATATGTGTTCTTCACATTTCTTTAGTGTCACTGATCTTGCTTAGCGAAAAATCAGAAGACTGATAGCATGTTTTCTAACACATTTTATTAAAAGGCGTTAGCTTTTGTGAGTTACAGCTCACCTCAGAAAGCTCCATGGTGTGTGAAAAGTTCATCAAAGAGTCCACTTTGTACCTTCCAAGTCCAGACTGTTCCTCATTTTCAGATTTTCTCCTCTCTTTTCTCTTTTAACTCCACTTTTTTTCACGAGGAAAAAGCAAGCACAACACCCTAATTCACACAGCAGTAAGCTATAATGTGCTTTTTTTGCCTTTGGTTAAGTGCCTTGTGTGGACACCAACATTTGAGGGTAAATCATGACTAATGGATTTGTGTGTTTGTGGAGTAACATTTATTCGGTAAGGAAAGTTTGATGAAATGGGTGAAACCACTCAAAATGTTGCCCGAACATGATAGTGTATTATGGGAAGAGGAGGGAGATGAAAGGAAAAAGGAATTCCATGTTGTAGACTCCATACTGTAGCATCTTATTGCCAATCCCCCTGATTTTATTTTATTTTATTTTATTTTATTTTATTTTATTTTATTTGCTATAAGCTTTCATTTGGTGTGGCTCAGATTGGCTGTGTTTATGCAGTGGACTGGACACAAATTATCTAATGACATTGTAGTCTAGTAAATTCTGCAAATCCAACTTGCATGAACAGTTTATGGCTCATGGAAATCGAGACAATTAAATGATAAATACTTTCTAAGGACTCTGAAATAGCTGTGGAGATCTTGTTATCATGTGTCATTTTTAATGATATGTTGTCAAAAGAGACAGGTTTGTAAAGAAAGTAGCTTGACTCCACCTGCTTAGGTATAGGACTAGACCCAGAAAATGTGAAGTCCACGTCCTCCCTCAGCCATCAAAACTCACTAGGCTAACTCTGGCCCAGTCACTCTCTCTCACTCTAGCCTGAGATTATTGTTGTCTTGGGAAGAAGAAAATGTAAATCTAACGCAGAAAATGGGCATCAATATTGAAAGGCCCTCTTCAATGAAATGATTAAAGGCCAGGAGCTTTATTTTCCTCTACATCTGGCCATGCTGTCTCAGATAAAATAAAAGCCAGACTCAGGGGAAATTCACCTAAACAATTAATGGCTTTGGAGGGATTTGCCAAACTGGATAACCTCGTCTCATATCCTGCTTTTGTTGAAGCAAGTGTTGTAATGGAAAACAGGATATATATATATATATTTATATAAAGGGATTTGTATAGTCCTTTAACCTTTAGAAGCACTTTTTGATTGATTGCCTTTGCTGAATTGTAAAAGCATCAGATACTGTTTGAAAGAGGGGGGAAACTCTTCTCTAGCTTCACTCCCCCAAATGAAAAAGAAGGCGTCAGTTGCTTAAGTTAACTAACACAATGCCCTTTCTGGCATTCTTCTCTGAGAACAAAGGAAGGGATGTTGGCTTGTAGCTATACATTCTTCTCAAAACTGTTCTCTCAGAAGTAAAGCCTCTACCCTGGACATTGAAGGGGAAAAAGTTTCAGGAAAATCAAAGTTGCCAAGCTGTTGGTTTCTTCTTTTTTCCCAGTACAATTATCATAACTGAATGGCAATCCAATCGATAGTAGGCAACTCCCTTTACTTTTTCAGCCCAAAAGCCATCAGAAAGGACTCGGAAAAAAGCAACCTTTAAGCAGGATCTAAGCAGATCTGAACTGAATCAGTGCTGGTAAGGGACCGAGAAGAAAATCGCCCCATCGCAACCATTATACAAATTGACCACATTCTCCCCTCCAGAATATTGTAGAAGAACTAGAATGAGCTTGGAAGCCCAGTTTGGCAGCATGGGTCACAAGTCAAAGCATGAGTACACAAATGCATAGAAGAAGGAGTACAAGGAATGGAATGGAATGGAATGGAATGGAATGGAATGGAATGGAATGGAATGGAATGGAGTGGAGTGGAGTGGAGTGGAGTGGAGTGGAGTGGAGTGGAGTGGAGTGGAGTAGAGTAGAGTAGAGTAG